ACGGGGGAAACAGAGCCTGCTACCAATTTTTTTTAGGAGCTCATGGTAAGTTTTCGCTTTTTTATGGATCTCTGAGATCCGCTTTCATGCCAAAAAATAAATAAATACAGAATAAATAAGTATGCCCTTTTATGTGAAGGGGCGGGTTTCAGGCTTGGTTTTGAACACCCAAAGTAGCCAGATTCCGCCTGAACGCTGAAAAAAGTATGGCAAATTTTGACACAGTGATACTGTAGGGTTAAGATAAACAGTCATTTGGTAGCATTTACTATCCTCTTGGTGAATGCGATCAGAGTTACGGTATTTGCTAGCACAGTCTCTCGATGATTACCTTACTCACATCGCTGTGCCTCGTACCATGCATTTTTTTTAGTGTGTGAAGGGCTATGAAAGTACTGTATAAGGAGAGAACGGTCTTATTTGGACCCTCAAAAGACATTCCCGCAGGCAGGCGGTTGAATTCTGGGAAATCTTGTATAAACTAGAAATGAACATTGACCATATGATGTAATGATGGAAATGATGAATGCCATAATGCATACAGATACATTGTACATCCACGGTTCTCTTAGTAAACGTATCATTACATTCAATCTCCATTAAGATTAATTTAACCAAAAGTCTACCAAGTCAACGCAGGCCGCAGGTACTTCGCCACATGAGACGCCCAAATTGCGTTCTTCAAACATAAAGGCGCATGCTATCGATAGGGAAGCTGACCCAAAAAACTGCGTTCCGCTGTGAGCTGTGATCTGAATTAAAATAGTTAGGACAACCGATCTTCTACTTGATGGGAATTCCTTACGGTGACGTCATATTTGTCGACCTCAACGACAATGTTGCCAAATCTACGGGTAGCAAATAAATGACGGCGTTTCGCACTCATTCTGAGCCACGTCGCTCGCACAATTTCACGAAGGACGGTTTGGTATGTGCTCCATCAGTTCCCCGCATGCCCTCCTTTCTACCTACTACTAATCATCTACTACATGCTGAATATTTTGGCACTAAAACATGCTTAATGGAGGGAGGGGGAGGCGTCAACTACTGGGAAAAAAACTGAGGGGGTGCGGCCAAAAACGTTTTCCCTGTCTTTCCCTTTCCCCCTCCCGGGGAAAAACCGCGATTTTCTTGACGGCGATTTATCGAAAAATTATCAAACAAAAAATCGTGGCAAATTGCTAAAATTTCGATTTTATTGAATGCGATTATACATAGATTAAATTGTAGCAAGATTAAGGATAATTGCTCAGATGTTGATGATCCTAGTGATTTTATCGCAAAAAATCGTAAAAAAAGCCGCAATTTACTTTGAAAATATCGCGATTTTTCCGTTAAAAAATGCTACTTGGGCATGCCGCTTCCTACTCCTTTGCACCCTTTATGTCGCGTAAAAAAATCATTTCTTGGTAATTCATCAGAATCGACTTATTTTCCACTCGACTTAAATTGGTTGAATATTAATGGAAGCTCAATCACAATAATCTGGTCGTAATTGCTCTTTTTGGTGGTACTGTGAAAATAGGTAGTTTCCTACCAGCATTACCAATACCGACAATGGATGAGAAAACAAATTTCCTCTCGTTGGCCGCAGTACACCGCGTGTCTGTTGAAGTTTTAATCGGTCTCTCCTCGTATAAATTTAAATTAATGGAATTAGAAAGCTTTCAGGGAGATTAAATATTGGTGATGGATTAGATGTAAAAAACGGGCTCATGACAATGTAACGTTGACTATCTTCCTCGAGATAAATCCATTGATTTGAGATAACCTTTGGGAAGGAGAAGGGGAAGATTTAGATGCTTATCAACTGGTTCGATCATTAGTGTTGTTAAGATGGCTCAAAGGACCATATTTTGGAGACTCGCTGCTTTTCCCAATGTATTGAGGATTTCCGCGACTGGAGACATTTCCTTATAAAGCGTTTGCAACAAAACCGTTTTGCAGTATTAATGTGCAATCATAGACCTGAAAATAGTTAAGAATGAGTCCAAAATTCCGTTTCGATGAGTTAACGAAGTCAACGCAAAAAATGGTTCTCATATTATTTATCTGGACGTTATGTAGACTTTCACGTATGATTACGGTTCTTATGGACCGGGAACTTTACGCCAACTCATGACGTGAAAATTCAGAAAAATTCAATTTACAATGCCAGTTATTCTAATTAAAAAATAAAATAAAAATTTGGAAGCGAACTCCCGATCCTGAGAAGTATGAAATCAGTGCTGTAGCTAAAATGAGTCCAATTCGGACGCGAAAAGCATAGCCGTGGCGGATATAGCATAGCGAAGGGAAAAACGAGTAGACAGCGTTAGCGTAGAGTAGCGTTATATTTTTAGTAGTATACGCGGAAAAATAGCTCTAGAACTGGGTCTTAGAATGTTATCATGTAGTAGCATGGCGTGCTTTGCGATGTATCGGTCGATCTGTCATTTAAACCCACTGAAAAGGATCGATAAACAAGGTGTTTGCGACAAACACCTTAATAATCGATTCTTTACCATAACTTCGAATAGGGATATGTCAATAATCGATCATTCGCGCCTCCCCACTGGACATTACTGTCATGTTGAGGTTGAGGGGAAACGCCGTATATGATCGTCTGAACGTTGTTGCTGGATTCGATTGCCGTTGATGAGTTATTAATTTTCCAGGAAACTTGCGAATATGCATTCCTCATATTTTTCAGAGAATTTAAGGTGATTCGATGGACGTCATATTTTGTATCAGAACGGGATGCGATATATCGCATCGATTGGTTCCATTTTTTCAGCTACTCGTAATTTTTCTCCAATTTTGAGATCGCAATTCTGTTGTTAGGAGACCAAAGCACTCACTTGCCAATTTTAACAAAGAAATTCAACGTAATGAAGGCGTGGTTTTTTTTTAGAGAGAAAACATCGCATTCGATAGGTACTGATATCGAAACTGCACTTGAATGCGATATTTTCTCTCTCTAAAAAAAAACACGCCTTCATTACGTTGAATTTCTTTGTTAAAATTGGTAAGTGAGTGCTTTAGTCTCCTGACAACAGAATTGCGATCTCAAAATTGGAGAAAAATGACGAGTAGCTGAAAAAATGGAACCAATTGCCGGTCTGACACAAAATATGGCGTCCATCGAATCACCTTAATTGCAAAATCTAAAATATCGACAAATTTCCAGGAATAACATTTATGACCTCTATGAAATACCCATTTTATTGGAGGAGATTTTACAACATTCGAAATGTTATACGGCGCTCTCCCTTAGCATGGCACAATGCAGGAGTCTTTAAGCGCAACTGTAAGACTTTTTGTTTTTGTGTTAGATCATCAAAAAGTACTTAATGGAGAGGAGGGAAGATGGGGGGTGCCGAACGAGGAGTAGGCGTGAATTCATTGTCAGTACTTACTTCATGCTTTACCTATTAAATATTTATTAAAAAGTTTGCGCCCGACGTTTTAGTCGCCGTATCTTAGCTGTCAATTAGAAGCTGCGAAAGTGCTGTTAGGGTAAAATAGGTATAAGATTTTCGTTATTGCCGACGCTGCTCAAATTTATCAAAAATGCCAAGCCAAACTCAACGTGAATGTGAACGGATTGGGAGGTGCATTTACTTTACGGGTATAGGATGCTCATTTCAACTCTACTACTATGGGTTACTAGTAATCAATATTATGAAAGCAGTGTGCCGTCAAAATGGCACATGCTTCTTCAATGATAAAGTTACGAAGGTCATGCAACTATAAACGCAAAAATAAAGTTAAATTTAAGAAAATTTGATTAAGCATTGTATAAAGAGACAACACGTCTGTAGAGCATGAATTCAGCAGAAAGGAACCAACCCATGATCGAAATGAAAATGGAAAGTAGCATTTGTCCTTTGGACGAATCTGATACTGAGGTTAGCACTAAATAATGCTTACGGTAGTACGTCCCCCCTCCCCCCCTCTAAAAAGAAAATAACCAAAACGAGTGGGAATAACACGATTTTCAGTTTGGATACGTGTCAGCTTCAGATCAAGCAAAAGCCAGCATTAAGATACTAATTAAGGCTGATGTAATTATGGTATTCAGGATGGCCTTAGTATTTTATTGGCACTGACTTTAATGTGATTTGACGCTGACCTTACAGTGATAGACCCATAAGAAAAGCTAGTATTTGAGCCAATTCACCCAAGTATTTAAAAAAAAAAAATTGATTGGAAGTAGTTTCGGAGTCATGAAAATGTCAGTTTTCTCCACTTAATAGGACAAAAATTAAAAGTCAACATTTTACATCGATTAACGTAAGCCAGGCTTCAATTTTCAGTTTCATTTTGACATGGGCTGGTTATTTTCAGATGAAGTGAATTATAAGCTCATGAAAATCATATTTTGTTATGATTCTTGCAAAGGCGTGGCGTGCTTTGCGATTTATCGATCGTTATGCCATTTAAACCTATGGAAAAGGATCGATAAACAGAGTATTCGCAATGAACCCCTGAATAATCGATTTTTTACCATAGCTTCAAATGGGGAAATATCGATAATCGATCATTCATGCCTCGCCTCTGGATGCTTATGGAGCACATTAAACGCCATACATTTACCGCCACCGAGCATGTGTGCTGCAAAAGCAATAAGCGGGAACATATCATTTTATGTGCAAAAATTTTTTATGTTCCTGTTTTTACGAAAAATTAGTATGGAATTGCGGTAAAACGCTTACATAGAGGCGATGTAAAAGCGGTCTCATTTTTTATTGCCAAAATGATCCTACACTTGAAAACTATACTTCAAAGTATTCAAATTTGTTAGTTGTTCTTAAAAAAAAACTAACCAACAGGTATAGCACCATAACATATTAAGCAAAAAATATAAAAGTTGAATAATATCATCAAAAGAAGACTGATGATTGTTTTCAAAGTATGAATCTTGTGTTGTGCTTAACGATTTAAACTGCATAAAAAATGCCTCAATTCAAAATTACGAAAAGTGCACTGAAGCTATAATCAATTTGAATCAAACTTACTGACGACGACAGCCAAAATGGCAAGACCTATAAGTCCCATTATGATCATCATCTGCAAAAGACAACAAATTATTTATTAGAGACAGCCTCACAATTTGTGTACATTTTTTACATAATCACAGCTGTGAAGAGAAGTTGAACGTCGTGAAATTCTCACTAACAGAACAAGATCTTTGTAGCTAAGGCTTGTAAATCAAAGTTGCATTAGTCATGTAATCGTAATTTAACGGCTGAAACAAATTGAACGACGAAAAATATTAAGATCTGTCTGAGAAACAAGTCTTCATCTCAGTGGCGATTCTTGAAAGGTAGCGACACTGGTTTTCTCTCATTTAAATGTATTTGAAACGATCGATTCTTGGTGAGGCAGCCCACTTCACTTAAAATCGATATTTTCAATGGATTTAAATGGAGGAAAAACAATGTCGCAAACTTGCGAAATCGCAACGGTTTTGCGTCCAATAAGTATTGACGGAGATGTTTCCCTTTGAAAAACACCTCGAACCCCTTCTCATCTACCACGTTAGTGCATACCATGGTTTCTCTCTCTATTTCTCCAGAGTAGGTAAATGCATTCTGGATAAAACCAAGGTGAAAGAAGCCATCTTCATTCTTTGCGTTATATTGACCGATCGAATAGCGCAACAATGGGGCATTGTCGAGAGGAGACAAAACCGTAAGAGCATTTTGTTACTTGGCATTTTTTTTCCAAATTTTTTGCATCGCTTATGAATGATTCCAGACGCTGTGTAAAGATCAGTAACAAAGGATACTTACTTTTAAGTTCTGAAGCCAGAATTTCCTCTTTAATTTCCCTGCTTGCTGTTCGAACTGTGATGCACCCTGTTGAAGAGCGTCTGAAAAAAGAGAATGATCATAGTTTGTTAAAAGAAGGGGATAGAAAGGATTTAGAAAATAGCTGAAGATCATACTGCATATGTATTGTACTTATTCCATTCATCCAATCTTCTTGAGGAACATAAAAAAAACGCCTTTCACCAATGGATCGCACTCAATGTCATGCGCTCTGGTATCTATTCCTCTTACCACTAAAATTTCCATATCCTTCTGTTCCCCTCAGAAGACAGTATGAATGGTGAAAATTGAAAAGCGCGTTAATACATAATTGCATTGTTGCATATTTCCTTTTCATTTTTCTGAGAGGAAATCAAATGAAAATTAGTTTTTTGAATTTTAACAATTTTTTCTTCTTCTTCATCCTGCAGGGAATATTCCGCGAAAAAGTCTGACGTTCATTCACTTGCACTCGAAAAAAAACTGCAACGACAGCAGATATTTTGAGGGCCGCAAGCGAGTAAGGTGTTTTTTCCCCCAAATTTCACAAACAAGTACCTATATTGCACCAGGCATGAAGTGAGGTTTTGAGTGAATGGAAATCAGGTAATGTATTTTCCAGTTAAGAGGTAAGTTTTAAGTGGAGCTAGTACCATTTTTAGAACTTACCTGCTCTGTCATCTAATTCAGATAGTTTCTGATCTCTTTCAAGTACTTTTTCAACATTAGTTTTCATAATATCAACGACCTGTGAAAAGAAAATTACCATTATTCCTCCCTCATTTTCAGGATATTTACTGCACATAAGAAAACAAAATACAGAAAATTTACATACTTTTATGTGATTTCTGTAACAATGATACAGTTTAATAACTTTCACCAAACTTATCGGTACAGAAAAGAGAATTTAATTAAAATAGGTATCCAAATCAATAGTGGCTACTTAACTATGGTTTTGGCTATTTAAACTACAATAGCCTGTTGTACTTGCAATCACGAATATCTCAATTTTGTATAAAAATAAAACCTCTCTCCTCTTTCAGTAAAACCTTTAATTTGTAACTCATTTCGGTAATAATGATAATAAATTTATCTCTTTTTTACGATTTACACCCTAACGGAAGAAGAGTTAACGTTCTTAAAACAAAGCAAGAGCTATGCAATTAACTCACCGATATTGTGGGCGACATCTACCTGATAAAGAAAAATACAACCTCAAATCTGCGGTTACTTTTTTCTGCATTTTTTTACTTTGAGAGTTGGACAAGTACGGTAGGTAACCACTAACTAAGGAGCAAAAATGAACGACGAGTCTTTTTTCCAAACGGTCATCGTACAGTCTTATTTCTTAACTCCGTGTAGACTATGTCAGAGGGTAATATTTCAGTAGATATTGTCTGGTAATTTCGGAAGGATCAACATCCTTATCAATATTATCATTAACCCAAATTGGCAATCTATCTTTCGAACAGTGGCGCGGCATGCTTTGCGATATATCGATTGATCGGTCATTTAAACCCACGGAAAAGGATCTATAAACAGGGTGTTTGCAACGGACACCTTAATAATCGATTCTTTACCACAGCTTAAAATGGAGAATATCGATAATCGATCATTCACGCTTCGTTACTGCTTTTGAAATTGAATAAATTCTACAGACCTCATCAACTTGGGCCTGCGTCTGTTGTAACCTCTTTTGAGCTGCGATTTGCTGTGGTGTCCTAGGTCCTCCGACGATGCCATCTTCTCCGGTGCTCAAGTTGGCCCCACTGTCTGGTGCTGCCCTGTAATAGATGGAATTTGATGATATAATTCCGAGTAAGAATTCGAAGTCACCCAAGATTTAACACTGTTTGAGCTATTTTATGTCACGTCAATTTACCGGTATGTACGGAATGGAGTCAGGGAAAGGAGGACAATATGGACGAAGGAAGTGCAAATCGTGTTATAGTATAAAATAGCCCATCGGGAAACCGCACGTCTTGGTGCCGCACTCCGTGATTGCAAGATTTCAACGTGCCTTCATTGTTTTGCATATGCAATAAAGACAGTCGTTGAGCAGGTATAGTTTCATCCAGTAGCCTGATCGTTGAAAATTCTGCTAGGTTTGTCGGCAAGATAAGACAAGCCATAGCCCTCTGCTGTGTCGTCCCTGGTAAAAATTGGCGATAAGAGCTGCGTTTCAAAATACCATAGGAATTCTTATAGCCGGCTAAAAAATGCTACAGAAAATCATATAGCTGGCTGTAAAATGTTGAGAAAATGATACAGCCGGGCTATACGAAGCGATAAAAAATTGTACAGCAGGGCTATAGTTCCAATCGCCGGGCTTTACACTTTATCGCCTGGCTGTTGCTTTTTCGCCATCGATTATAAAAGGCTATAAGAAATTGTGTAGAAATTCGTGTGCTTTGGAAATCATTAAGTTTGATACGGAACCACCTTAATATTTACAAAACACACATTATATTTTCCTTTAATACATTTTTTTTCATCAATTAAAATGAGAATAATCCATACAGGATGTGCAAACATTTCAAAATCATGAGTTGAATAACGCTGACTCCGCCAGATTAAATATTAGAGCCTAATACAAAGCGGAGCGGCGACGCACTGGCGCCTACAAACCTAACAGGGATACTTCACGCATTACGCAACGCGTGAAGTATCCCTGTTAGGTTTGTAGGCGCCAATGCGCGTTTCGCGCTGGCTGCCCGCCTGCCGCACCGCAGCGTGCGGCTTGAAGCAACTATTTCACACCAGAGGTATTGCACAGTATCATACGAAATTGAAGGCGCTCCAACATATTAGGAATGGCAGGCATCCATCAAAAGTACGGAGCTTACCTGGCAAAATAAATCAAGATACTACGGCCCAAACAGGTAGCAGTGGTTCAAAAACTCACTAAGTCCTAGCATCCGTAATTAGTAACGTTTAGCATACACTTTATCGCCTGGCTGTTGCTTAGTCGCCATCGGCTATAAAAGGCTATAAGAAGTTGTGTAGCCGGCTATAGAAGCTATTGGAAATCTTACAGCCGGCTGTAGGTCTATGGTATTTTGGAACATAGATTCTACTGCCAATTTTTACCAGGGGTGTAATATATTGATTTTTGATGTCTTGTCGTCATGACATAAGTTTCAACTATTAGTCCGCAGGCGTTGCGATTGAATAATGCCACCTCGAGTATAATGAGTCCAGCGGTTAAGATATGACCTGAAAGTATCTTGTATTTTAAGTATTTGTAAATTACACGAAATATTAACTTTTTTCTTCCATTAGAAAAAGTACTGTCAGGCTACTGGGTTCGTCACACTTCGTCCCTTCTGTTAAAGACTGGTTTGTTTTGTTTTTTTTTTAATGAAATAAAAAATAAAAACAAATCTCATTAATTTTAGAAAAACAATTCTCTAAAGAGCAATTAAAATTTATTTTTTAGAGGATCCTTCTGGAGTATTCTTAGGGACAATGTAAAAGAAGTAAATTTTTAAAGGAAAGAAATTCCAAAAAAACCATTTCAAAGATCTAGGTGCTGTAGTTTTTTTAACATTCACACTGTTTGACAAAAAGGTTTAAAAACTGAAACGATGAATACATTTTGATTGAAGGCGTCATTAAATACGTACATTTTAGAACTCTTCAAAAGTTTTTGAGAAGAACGGTCTTTGTTGCGAGGAAGTGCTGCTTCTGGAATAACCATTGTCTAATTTTTACGAGATGGAAAAGTAATTATTATTTATCACTTTCAATTAAATTATTGTGACAATGTATGGGTGAAAAACCGTGAGCTGAAAAACTTAAAATTGAATTATCACCACCATCGTACTGCGGAGCATTTTGTGAAAATCGCAAAAAAAACCGGAATTATGACGCTTTAAAGAATGTAGTCGAAAAACGTAGTTTTGAGAAACAATGATTTTTTATGCGCGTCATATTCAAGACTTTTGCGGGGTGCACTCAACCTGTCGTGATTTTTAAGTGAGTTCTGCAGGTGTTGACAGTTGACTGACATGGGCAAAAAAAGAGTCAATAAATCGGAAAAATTATCTGGCGCCATTTATAACCAGCCTTGGAGGTATTTTTCCCGTGAAATAAGTCACAATTATAGGTAGGTGGGCAGCTTTTTTAATCCAATATAATTATTTTTTCATGAAAATAAATTGAGTTTTCACATACTAGGGTTGATAACCGAGCAATTTTCGAGGAAAGCTCTAGCCACTCTCCAGAGAATTTTCCGAGAATATCACGCGACGATTCTTTCGTAAAAATAACACGTGAGGAAATATCCTAATGAATAGAAAAGTATAAATAGGATCCATTCAATTGACTCCAAGATGTTTGCTCATGATCTCGGCATTGGTTTTAAGTATTTATTGCACTTTCCTTTGAAAGCTCTCCGTCCCTCAGGAAATTCAGTATCCCACAATGGTTGGCTTTTCGACAACATTCCAAGAAGACATCCTACCTACCGCCGGAGGGGTCACGCTAAATGTCAAACTGGGTGCGAGACGAGGGTGGTTCGGCAAAGTTTAAAATTGGTGTTCAGCCGAGTTAGAGAGCATGGCCTTTTCGACATTTAGCTCGGCTTAATCAAATAAAGCCTGGACCTTTCGCCTCGTCAAAGGCTCTTTCTTTTTTTATGCCACCGAGAGGAATAACTGGATAACAGTGGCGATTTCGATCCCGAGCGTTGGTGCCATCCATTATGACCAATTATAAATTTCGATTCTATCGTTGAAGCACCTGTCTTGATAAATGTCGATTGTTATACGTACATCTAACCCAAGTAGCGGTGATCGCGATAGGTCGCGATTTGATCGGAGAACGTCTCGCGATTCGATCGGAGAACGTTTCGCGATTTTATCGGAGAACGTTTCGCGATTATATCGAAGAACATTATCCGCGATTATATCGGAGAACGTTATCCGCGATTATATCGGAGAACGTTCCGCGATTATATCGGAGAACGTTCCGCGATTATATCGGAAAACGTTCCGCGATTATATCGGAAAACGTTCCGCGATTAGATCGGAGAACGTTCCGCGATTATATCGGAGAGAGTTCCGCGATTATATCGGAGAGAGTTCCGCGATTATATCGGAGAACGTTCCGCAAATATATCGGAGAACTTTCAGCGATTATATCGACGTAGATTTAGTCCAATATCATTGGATAAATAGTTGCGATTAATTGCCATTCCATCGCATAAATTTGCAGAAAAATCGCAATTTTATCGGCGGCGATTTGTCGCAGCATTATCGAACAAAAAGTCGTTATAAAGTGAAACAAACATTGGAATTTATCGAACGCGATTTTATAGAGATAAAAGACAAGATCGAGTATAATCGATCAGATGCTGATGATCCTAGCGATTTTATCGCCAAAAATATTTTTAAAAAAATCGCAACTTAATTTCTAATCGCGATTTTTCTGTCAAAAAATGCTACTTGAGGAAGTGGGTAAAGCCTAAAGTTGCAAGTTTGTTAGGATAGCCTGCGCTGGGTGGTTGGTGAATACCGATCAATTGGTCGCATTTAGGCGGTGAAAATGAACACCCCTAAAGCTCGATTGCTGGTTTTCAATGCTTGCTCTCAGTTTATTGTTTCAAAATGAAACCAATTACCTACTATCATTCAGGATACTATACAGTGAAAGTGTTTGATGGGAGAAATAAAAATCTTGCGAAATATCAAAAGAGCGGTTGATCTCACGGAAAAAAAGAGGTAGGGGTTAAGTCCCAACTGTTGGATGATATGGACATTCCCAATTAATTGTGGTAATACCCCGATCAATTGTGGTAGTATCCCAATTAGTTGTGGAAGTATCCCAATAAATTAGGCTACTAACCCAAATGTTGCGGTACTACCCCAACTTGAGTTGCGGTGCTACCAAAATTAGTTGGAAATGTCCGTATCATCCAACAAATTGGGGTAGTACCACAATTTTAGGGGATAACCCCTGACACTTTTCTTCCGTGTTTATTACGTTGGAAAGTTAAATACGCAGTTTGCAATGGTTAATATCGATATTCCAATTTCTAATCACTCGTGCGCGCATCTCATAGAATCATATTTTGATAGCTGAAGCCTGACAATTTGACCATCGTCCCTCCCCCTTCAAAAAATAAAAGATGATAAAGATAAAATTGGTTCGTTAAAACGCGAAATCCCCAAGTGTAGTTATAGAAGAGTTGTGACTTTTGAAAATGCAACCATTGACGCTGTTCATTGCGGCGTTACACATTAATGACTAAAGACAAAAAAAAGCCATAACTCCGTTTGTGGCGTTCAAGTCCTCGCTTGTGTCGCATTTAAAACATGAGCTCATGTTTTATTTTTCATGTTTTACATGTTAAAGAAAACTAATTGACGTTTTTCATTAATATTGTCTGTGAATTTGTTTTAACGTATTTAAAAATATTTATAGAGAGTTTCAAGGAGATATTTAGGTTGGATTTCTTTACAAACGAAAAACAAAACAAACATAATCGAAATGTCTAAACGTTTTTATGGAGATACGCGTTTTCTGACCGGAAACATCGGCACACTGCAATTCCTTGCAGTGTGGATGCGTCAATCAATAATGCAGGAAACTTCGATATGAATTATTATAATTTTGACATGCATCTGGCATCGGAACATGAGTCTTAAAACCAAACACGAGAGCCAGGAAAACAGTGAGCGCTCAGTTTCTCAGATATACAATGTGAATATCTGTAAGATACAGAGATAGTTGCTCATAGAGTTTCCTATCACCATTGCATTAGAGGATCTATCATTTGAAATGGTCGCATTTTTGCGCGCCTTCAATTCTTTGGATATGTAACATGGGCATTCCAAGAGCGCGGTAGCAGGCAGCAGTTGGCATCTAAGCGTTGTCAGCACTCAAACAGAAAGACAATTTCTTGCGCCTTCAATGTTTCAGGCATACAGCACTCATACCTTCAAAGTCAGGAATATCTGCATCCTTCCATGGCCATTTCAAAAAATATGTAGCCATAATTTTTCAGTGCCATCACCCCCTCTTCCCCGTCCCATTTTTTGGAGATAGTGACTTTACTTCTTGATAGCGATAGTTGACAAAAGCTCTAATGGTTGTGAGTTTCAGTTGAGACCGTTGTGTTAATTGACGTGGTTAATTCGGTTGATAGTCGTTTCCCGTGATACGATAAAAGAGGAGATACGTTTTGTAGTTTCTTAGACGGAGGAACATAACTCCATTCCAAGGTTGCAACATTTATTGAAACAATCCAATTTTTACAAGAATATGGCAGCCCAATTTCGGTCGAAAATGTTTGTAAGTTTTAAGTGTATGTCGGAGCAAAAAGCAGTGGAATTTCCATACATAAGTACAAAACAGTTTCCTGGTAAAAGTACAATTTACGAGAGGGAATTTGGCAACGTTGAAATGTTGTTACGTTCTTCCGTCCGCGGAACGACAAATTCAGAGAAAATTTAATGCAAGAGCACTCCAGATAGCGCTTCTCAATGCATCAAACATATGTATGCCTGCGGGTACGCAAATGTGCCTACTGCTCATAAAAATTGAGCGCCTGTAAATATTTTCACAGTGATTCTCGACAAGATAAACAAAATGAGGGCCCGGAACTGGAGTGATGTTTCCACAACGTATTGGCTTAGCATTACATTTGATGTCGCTATCGCACGGGGGAAACAAGGGTGGATTGAAAATCCTGAATGCAGTGGAATTGTTTACTTACGTAACCACTGCTTGTCGGTTAATACCTACCTGAACTTTCCTAGTATAGCCGCATTCATTCAATTTGTCGTAAAAAAGCTCGCGTACAGGGTGATTTGGGACTCTCCAGGTCAAAATAATGCGTTTTTGCTCTATAAAATCAATCCAAAGTCACCGCCTCTCAGTCCTCACAATTTTGAATTTTTTTTTTTTTTTTTTTTTTTTTTTTTTTTTTTTTTTTTTTTTAATTTTGGCAGGTTATCGGCAGCTAATTAAACACGTTACGCTGAAAAGTAGATTGTTTGACTCTTTTTTTACCCTCTTGTGATGCACACACTGGTCTGACACATGTTGGCGCCCTCTAGAAGTACGTAACGCCCCGTCCGAGCCCGGAAGTTGGTGTGTTATAATATAGTAGGGGACAACGCCCCCTCACCCCCACGGCGCTTCGCGTAACGCGATATGCGATACGCGTTACTCTTATGAATTTATATTATAGAGTATGATTTTTGATAAAATATACCCTGATAGCAAAGCATCATATGATATAACTCGGAAAAAACCTAAAAGTGGAATTTTTTTACGCGCATGAATGTTGTACGTAAAAAATCTTTCAAATAAGTCGGAATAAGTCAGATTTCAACAGTTTTACAAACAAAATGTGTGACAATAGAGGTAAAGAGAGGTAATTGGTACTTTTTACGCATTTTCTTGTCAAAAGTCCCCTGTAGGAATTTCGTTTTTGATTTATTTTAAGTTTTTCTTACAAGTTTTTTTTATTTTTAAGTATTTTTTTTTTTTGTGAATTTTACGTTGTGTGCTAATAGGGGTTTGCGATTCAACAGCGAAACGATTTAATTACTTAAACCAGTCTATTGCTTATTCATAGGTATAAAAATCCCGGCATTAAAAGTTCCTCCTTCCTTTGTGGATAGACCTGATTTTTTTTAGTAAAAGTGATGGATAAAAAAGGAAACAGCACTTTTTACGCTGTAATAATAAAATTAATAAATTAAAAATGAATCAATTATAATAAAATTAATCTTTTCCGAGTTAAAATGCATCAAATACAAAGTGGAGCTCAGAGAGTTAGACGACAAAAATACCTCATCTAAAAGGAAAAAATAAAAATAAACACAGTTCGGATACATTTCATTGAACCCTTTCCCTCCTTTTTTTGAAAATCATTCAAAAAACGATAATTTTGAGACAAATAAAAATTTAACCTTTATTCAGATGTGCGCAAGCACATACTGCATCATCTTATTGAAAAGGACTAAATTCTATCGTCCTTAAAAAAACCCAGATTCATGTGATCGATAGGTATTTGTTAAAAACTACTTGAAAATGTGTCTTTATTTTGACTCATGCACTGGAAAGAACAACTTTTACAAGACACGCTACGAAAGGATTATTGGACAACTGGGGTTAAATGACAGACACTAAGGAACATGTCACTTTCAGATGGTAAAGGTTAAATATTGATCAGATACATATTTCAGAGCTTTTCAGAAAAAAATCGGAGTTTTACAGTTTACACTGGCCCCGATTCAAACGGGAATATGTTTGAAAGACAAAAGAGACGCATTGTAAATTTCAAAAGACCACGATAAGTGGAAAGTTAAAAAAAATCATTTGATGTATATTGTGCTGAGTAGAAAGAAAGTGAGAAAGACCTCAATTATGTCAAACGATTCCGAGGTTTTTCTCCAAAACTTTAAAAGAACAAAGCTTGGAAAACATTTCAGGACTCCTCCTCTCGATGCCCCGATCAATTTTTCTCGCGAGTCAATAGCTGATGTATGGACATTTGAAAGTGCCAACCCCTTAGTTTATGACCCAATTTTGAAAAGCTCCTCCATGAACCCACGAAGAGAATTGAACTTTTATCGTTGGTACTTACATTCTTTACTATCTGTTTCCCGGTGACTGGAGCTTTTCACGGGCGGTGATCGGGTTTCAGGCGACGAAAAACAATTATTTCCCGAGGAAATTGGAAAAAACACAGAGCAACTCCCAATGCTAAGCAGCAGTATTGACAATTTCAACTCGCACTGGTAGTAGGTTGCTTAGATATATCGAATCGCTGGGTCGACAGGTCGCCACCGTCAGCAAACGCCGCGTTGGCCGTTCGGCGACTATGCGAAGCACGATATATATCCGAACACGACACTTTCCAAAACCGGAAAAACCGCGGATTTTCCGACAAGGAAAATTGCTCGGGATCAAACGCACGGCGGAGTCAGGACTGGCCCATGTCTGGGTATCGAATGTATTGCGGGTATTTTCAACAGTGACGTCACGGCGAAAGTTCCGTTCCGTCAAGAGACCGACGTGAGGCTGGTTCGGAAAACGTCGGGCCGGGGATGGACGCGGGATTTGAGGGGACAGCTTTGCGCCCGCGAATGACGAGGAATAAACGACGGTCGGCTGAAATTTCAGTCGTGATCGATGCAGCTTTTATTTGCGTTCCAGCGCGGTTTCCGCCGGGATGTTTTCGGGACAAGTAGTAATCCGCGAATCGAGTCGGCGGGTTGGATCAATACTCGAGCACCCGCCGTCGCGCGTCGCCGCCCCCGCCCACCCTCCGACGTTGCTGAACCTCCGGATTTCCCACGCGATCTCGTAAGGGGAATTCGAGGATTCTATACAGGGCGGCAACGCTGCCGCGGATAACCGTGCACTCTGGGCGCAAGCCTTGTTTACACTCATCAATGAACTACCTATTATCGAGTAAGCTCTCTAAGCCCCTCTTCCCATTGTTGATCCCGTCGTCTCACCTGCCCTCGAAGCCACCACCGAACCCCGAAAATGGTAAGTACCGATTTATTATTTCCATAAGTTGAAGCGATCGACAGCATCAAAGTTTGAGGATTGCTGAGACCTTGATAAAGATCCTAAATTCGTGTATTTTCGTCTCGAAATTATTTTATCAATAGGAACCTTCGGCGAATGAGGAGGGTGGTTGCCATTTTTGTGATTGCGAGCAAAACGAGATTGAAGTGAAAAATCACACCGAATCTAAAGGCTCACGGAAAGTTTGGAATAACGTTGCGGTACCGAAATATTCGGTTTTTAGGTCAATATTTTTTCTAAATTCCCTTCGGCATAAGTTATCGCTGAAAATATTTAAATCCCACTTACTTCTTTCATTCCAAAGAGAGTTCAGCTACTAAACTCACATGGAGCTGTTTAATGGCTCTCGTTAAAACTTGTTGAGTTTTTTCCTTTTTTTACTCCGAGATCATTTTGTTACAATTGTCTATTATCTTTTATTTGTTTTAAGAGTATTTTCATGTTTAAGCACCTGAGTTTTACGTAAACTCCTAAAATTTTACCCTCTTTTCGGTATATATTGTCAGAGAAATGTATCTGCTCACGTTTTATGTAATTTGTGCACCCCTTCATTTTTTGCGAACGTAAGATGTACTATAGCCTGATTAGTTTTATTAAGTGTCCTGACAATGGAACATTACTCCATTCAAAGGTTATAAAGTTGATTCATATACAATTCGGTGTTTTACAAGACTGCACGACTGTCCTGCAGTTTCTGGTCCCAATGTTACTAATTTTTGCGCGTAATCCGACGAAAAATTAGTGAAATTTTCAGTCAAAAGTTTTTCACAATTTTCCTGTAAAAGTACGATTTGCGAGTGGATATTATTATCCGTTCCGTTATTTTATCCAGGAAAGACCAAAAGCGTCAGTGATTTACAGGCGTTCAATTCAATCTAATTCTAACAGAAAGAGGTCCGCGTTTTGCCTATTTTGTCTACTGAAGGAGATTCTGCCTCTGCACTGAAAAAAAATTCTCGGCGTTTTTACCAAGGTCCGTTGGTTCCTTTACAATCTCACTTTTTTTTTACCAATTATTGGTAATTTTACCAATACGGACTGGTAAGCTTACCTAAAAACCGGTATTTTTACTGTTTTTTCAGGTAAGAATACCAGTTTTATTGGTAATCAATTCCCGGTGACTTTGCCATTTTATCTCGGTATTTCTACCACAGTCGATAAAAAATATTGGCGTTTTTACCAAGGTCCAGTAAAATTACCAAAAAAGTTCAATAATTCTATCGAGATTTCTCGGTAAAATTACCAATTCCATAAATGGTAATTTTACCAAGAAAAAACTGGAATCAAACAGAACCCTGAATTCTTGGTAATTTTACTCTTTTCTTAATAAATACACCGAGATTTTTTTTCAGTGTGAGAAAGTAAGAGGCGCGGAGTCCAGTGATGTTATGCATTCATGAACCCACTACTATAAACCTTTTCTGCTCTCGTTGTGCATTCTGGATATTTATGGATAATTTGTGCTGGATGCCCTTGGTAGCCTGGGCTCTTCCATAGAGGTTGAATATTAAATGAGAGAATAATGATCATTCAGGAGGATAACACTTTGGTGTTCTTACCATAAAAACTATGACTTGGTTGGAACACAGGGGCCGATCGCCCCAGTTATTCCTCTTATATCTGGCGCTGAATTAACTTCCATAAAGTTGACCGTAGGTAACCTTAATTGTAAACGACACTGTGCTATGCACCAATAATTGTGGATCATGTCCATAAAATCACCTATCTGCAGAAAGAAACTAATGGCACCTAATGTTGCTGACATGAGCCTGAGACAATGGCTCTATATTGATAAAAAGAGTTTGATAAACCTAGAAATATTACCACAACATCACGGACTTTTATCACCAATTTCCGCTTTCCTAAAGAGCTCACTCATGAAGAACGCAAATGGGACTTCGCCGTCAGTATATAGCCTGTCATTTGTTTACGCTGGGGCAAAAAGCGCCTTCAAAAATAGGGATATGCAATCTCAAGACAGCCATGTTCCTCACTGCTCCTCACAGCAAAATGTAGCTCAGTCTCGGATAAATGAACCACGGATACCCAAGTGGCAGATATTAAAGGAAAAATCGCGACATTTTAAAATCAATTTGCGATTTTCACGATTTTTTAGCGATGAAATTGATACGACCATTAACATTTGAGCGGTTATCCTCAATCTGTTCGCACTCTTATCTCCATAAAATCGCTTTTGTTAAAATCGATATCACAACTTTTTGTTCGAAAATATAACGATAAATCGTCGTCGATAAAATCGTAAGTTCATTGTAAAATGCGCGGAAACCGCAATTTATCCCAATATATATCCGATAGGTAATATTGCAGAAAATCAACGTCGATAAGATCTTTGATTAAATCGCCATTTATCGCGATCATTGCAGCTTGGGTAATTGAAACTCTACCGTAAAATTTAAAAGTATAGATGCAAATTTTACGGAGCAGCCCGAGATAATGTTAACAGGAGAAAAACAATGGGGACAAACGGGGAAAAGGCTAAAATACAACAATGAAAAACCCGAGACGTTTTGACTCAAAACTGAGTCATTTCCAGTCGGAAAAAAATTAAAAATTAAAAAATATCGATGAAAAAACCTGAGACCTACATGTTGATTACCGTGATCCGAGGGGGAAAAAACATTCAAAATTTGAAAGCAGACTTCGCAATACCGTCATCAGGTCACCTAAACTGCCGTGCCGTTGAAAAACGCCGTATGAACATTCGCATGTTGCCACATTTCCCCTGATAAAAAAATGTGTTTTGGAAGAAAGTTCTGATGCATATTTTTCCTTAAAATGTTTAGATATTTTAGATTGAATTGCGAACAAAAGTTCCTGTGAAATTGGAAAGAAATATTTACAACAATAAGTTCATTTTTCATCAGAGAAAATTTGGCAACGCCTGAAAGTTCATACGGCGTTCTTCCTTAGCACGGCAGTAAAGCTTCCAAGCTGGGTAGGCTTTGATATTTCCGCCGCCGTGAGCTTGAGCGCGCGTTTGTCAAAATTCCCATTAGTGTTAAATCACGATGGCCGCAGAGCAAAAAGCATCTATAAAGCTATGATAGACATGCATGGTGTTGTTGCAGGTGTGGAGTCGTCGCTTGATCCATTTAGGCGCTGCCTCGCGTGGGAAACACAACGCCGCCGCAGCTGCGACGACAATACCTCCGTGAGAGACTGTTAAGCCGTGGCCAAGCGTGTTACTGCCGCCGCGCCTAAGAAAAGTTCCCCGATCCCGCTTGCTCTGCCGTGTAGGTATCATCATATGAATTGACTGAATTTCCTCAAAAGGAACCAAGAGAATACTATCGCGCTAAGGAAAAACGCCGTATGAACCTTCAGCTGTTGCCAAGTTTCCTTTGGTAAATCACCAACTTTTAGGAAAATTTGTAAATATATTTCCTCCAATTTTTCAGATTTTGTTCGCAATTTGAACTTAAGTTTCTGAAAATTTCAAGGAAAAATGTTCATAGCTATCCTCAAAAATTAACATTTTATCGGAGGAAATTTGGCAACTCTCGTATGTTCATACGGCGTTTTTCTTAGCACGGCAGAATAAATGGACCGCGTTTAACAGAAAAGAACCAAGCCACATCAGCTATTGCCAAATTTAAAGGAGCAATTTAATTTTTTACGAGAAAACGTTTGTGCGGATTCCTTGGAAAATTTTAGAGAATTTGCCTCGTATTATGGAGAAAATTCACTGAAGTTTGCACTAAAATCCGCACAACCGTTTCTATTGAAAAAATTAAATTGCCTGATGAAATTTGGCGATAGCTGATGTGGCTTGGTTCCTTTCTGTTTAACGCGGTCCAAATGGACCGCGCTAAGCAGAAAGCAACCAAGCCACATGAGGCCCCTCGTTCCAAACCCGGCAATCTCCATTGCCCTGTCGGAAAATTGTGCAATCGTATTATTTTTCTGAGAGGAACAATCAAAACGTCAAGCTGTTTTTAAAATTTTCCGAATTTTCTCGCTGAATAACAAAAAATTTACGGGAAAACATAAACATGCATGTTTTCCCGTTTTTTCACTTTTGAAATTATAATGATCGCACAATTTTTAGACAGAGCAATGGGGATTGCCGCTTTGGAACTGGACGCCTCACATGAGCTACTGCCAAAAATCGGGCGATTTCATTTTTTTCATCGAAACGGATGTGCAGATTTTCTTGCACATTTCAGTGAATTTGCTGCATGTTAAGAAACAAATTCCCTAAAAATGAAAGCAAAATCCGCACGAACGTGTTCTTGAAAAAATTAAATTGCTCGGTTTTTAGCAACGGCTCATGTGGCTTGGCTCCTTTTTGCTAAATGCGGTCCATGTAAACGTGCTATATTTTTCAGTTTCCCTCTCCGATGTGTCCCGAAACAGAATTTGGGACTGCAGAAGTGTTTAATGGGTAAAAATAAGAATATTTTCCCCTGTACAATTTGTTCCCCAAAAATGTCACCAGTTGGAGTTAAGGCCCTAATAGATCAAAGCGTGGCGTGCTTTGCGATATCGATTGATCTGCCATTTAAACCTTTGGAAAAGGATCGATAAACAGGGTGTTTGTAGTGAACACCTTAATGATCGATTTTTTGCCATAACTTCAAATGGGAAAATATCGATAATTGATCATTCACGCCTCGCCACTGAACAAGATTCATGATTGACGCTGACAAAAATCTAGCAGCACTCATGGCTAGAGGAATTTTAGGATATCATATAATTAGAAATATAGTAACAACTACGTGAATGTGATAATAATTTAAAGTGCTGAAGTTCAAAGTTTGTGTGAATACCATTTGATGAATGATATATTATGCGTACATAGCATGCAAGCTAACTTGTTGACGCTCAACTTGCGTGCGATACAAAGCTGCCCACAATAATTAATCGATCACTTGCTGTGAAAGGAATGGCGTGAGGCTTTGCATTTGAATATGGTCACACGCAGGAGAAAATTTGTCCTCATTTTCCAAGAGTATGAAGTAGGAATTTGTAGGCGCGCATATTTGATACACATTGCGACTTAATTTTAAAACACTATCAGATGCAGCCCATATTTTAGATAGAAAAGAACAGAACAAAATATTTTCAAAAATATATGCTCAAGACTTTATTGTGCTATAATATAGCCGTTGCACATTAGAAATCATGTACGTGTATTTAGGTTTGTGATATCTCAGATTTCCTGTCGCATTTCATTCTGTCGGAAGTCGAATGGTTATCGTTTTTGTTCGGAATTCCGTACAATATTTCATTATCATTGGTCTTGGAAAATTTCGCATTTTGACGGTGAAAGTCGGCAATCACATAACTCGGTTTGCGACGTCGCAGACTTCCTGTCATACTTTATTTTTTAAATGGAAAACTACTCAACGGCAATTCTTTAAAACTGTCATGATTTTTCTTCTCAATGCGAAGAAAATTCTGCAAAAACTTCAAGAAATAGTATCAATTTGTTCTCCTTTATAAAAATGACGTAGAGGCGGAGATTTTCAGACACCGCAAACGAGTTATGTGATTGCCGACTTTCACCGTCGATTTAAACGTCAAAATTGGTTTTTTCACAGCGCGAAAAAACAAAAAATTTAAACAAAGGACGGCTCCTATAAGTAGATTTGAGGAAACTTTACATATCATGCTAAGATACCTAATTTTTGCTGATTTCGAGGGCCAGTAACGTTATTAAATTCAAATAATGCATTTCTCGAAAATTAACAATGTCGCGATAAAAATCAGTAATGGTTTGATTTATTGGCACAATAGGCAACGCTGGAATTATTGTAAGATGTGAGAGTAATCAAAACTTCCGCTCTGTAGTGTTGCATGCGAGCATACGATAGATACAAATCGAATTTCATCATATCGCCTGGGTGCAACTATTCGGGCTCCAAGGATGTCCGTGTTGCAAACACACGGGTGTGAAGGCGTTTTGAATTCAGCCACTAACCGCCTTAACAGCAGCGCTCAGTGGAGCGAGTCAATGAGAGGAGTCATACAAAATGAAGCTCATGTCGATGTAAATACGGAACGTAGAGGTATTAGAAGTGGTTCAATTGAATTTTTCGTCAAATATCCTTGATGCAGTACCCAATGGCCCGTACAATTTATAATGTGAAGAATTTAGAAGAAAAAACATAAACATTTGCAGTTTTAGCCGGGAAATTCATGTTCAACCTCTCTGAAAGACTCGTTTCACAGTGCGACTGGCTTTACTGAGAGGATCTAAAATGACTGAGTGCCTTCAATTCTTCATTCATACTTCGAAGACATCACGTAAGCATTAATAGTTACTCTACAAATCATGCTTAGAACATCAAGTCGTCGTATCAACATTAAAGGACAAGAGATACTCATATCCTACGCCTGTGTGCAACTACTCGTATCTAGGAGATACCCATCTTTAAAGTTCTTTAAACGAAGAATCGAGAGAACTCTAAATTTTATTTTCAATCCTCGCACGCAGTGAAGTCCGGCGTTGGCGCCGCGACGAAGTGGTGAGTGCCTGGACAGTCAAAACGCCTTCACTCCTGTGCATATGCAACACGGACATCCGTGAAGCTCGAATAGTTGCAACCGTCCAGGAGTTGAAATGAAATTTTTTAGCGATCGTCGCTTTCGACCATAGAGTACTCAATGCTTTCGACACTGACAAAGGGCGGTTAAAGTTTGCGGGTTTCTCTCGGCTAGTTACTGAATTCCAGCGTTGCCTGCTAGTAAACTATTACTGATTTTTAGCGCGGCACTGTCAATTTTCTGCATGATGCTTGGACGTAAATGTCATTATCAAGTGCTCATTAAAATAACGTTGACATCATCAGGGCCGGATTTACTTACTTGCCGCCCACAGGCCGCCTGTATTTTGCCACCCCCTTCTCATTCGTTTTGAAACATCAATAAAACCCATCAAGTGAACGTGCCGGAGGGGGATGAGGGTTGCATAAGACTAGTTTACTCGTGTTGGACACATTTTTTTGCGAAAGCCCTGTCAACGCTACTAGCAAAATATCACGGAACTTTGCGCGAAAGTTAAGTTCCGTAAACCTATCTCTGTGTGGACAAGGCCTTCCATTTATATGAAATAAACGAAAAAATTATGAAAGAACAAACATAAATGTGGTTTAATAAGTTTAACTTCCGCCGCCGCTCCGCGCTGACCGCACTGTGTTTGGCGCAATGATGCGTGAAGTATTCCTACAGTCTTGTATGCGGTATGCGTTTCGAGCCGACCGCTACTGCACGCACTGTGTTTGACGCAATGCGTGAAGTATTCATGCAGTCTTGTAGGCGTTAAGCGTTTCACGGCGTCCGCTGCTGACCGCAGCGACCGCACTGCGTCTTCGACGCAATGCGCGAAGTATTCATGCAGTCTTGAAGGCGCTAATATGTGTTACATGCCGACCGCCGCGCCGCGCCGAGGGTTTCTCCTTTTCATCTCAAGATCTCGTCATCATCGGCATGTATCTGCGCCGAGCCGTTCCAGGCCAAATTCCGTGTTCGGTTTCTCTCTTAGTCTTAACTCGACTAATTAAAGGTGCTGTCTATTGTATCACAGAGAGACGACAAAATTAGACTTATACTTTCGGGAAATGAGAGATTTTGTCATCTTTTCTCGTTTGTATTTTTTTTTTCTGAATCCGATTTTTCTTTATAGCTAAATTTAAAAAAATTAAAAAAAATTGCCGCCCCCCAAATTTGCCGCCATGGGCCGCGGCCCATGTGGCCAACCCCTAAATCCGGCCCTGGTTGCATCAAGGATTTGTAATGAAATATTTTGGTGTTCATCGCATTTCACACTAAATAAGGGTACTTAATTTGCTCCTCCTACACCGTGACTTAATTATAGTGTTGCGTATTGTGCCGATGAAGTAAACTATTACTGATTTTCATCACGACATTGTAATGTTCCCGAATAGTGTTTTGATTGTTAAAGTGTATAATAACTTTGCCGTCTTGAAATGTAGACTGTGGCCCTTACCTTCTCTGATCTGAGGATTGAGAATGCGGTAAAGCCGTTTCATGATCACCTCAGTACAAATTTGAGCACGAATTTTAACATGTTTGTATTTTTTATTATTATTTTCGCTGATGAGCTAGAAAAAAGTCAAGTCAGAAATTTGAATCAACCTGAGGTTAGGTGTACGGTGATTCATTCCTTTTAAAATGTTTCTGCATATAAAGTAGTGAAATATTTTTGTAGCTTAAGAGCTACGTCGATTTGATTGAAACTTCATACCTTGAACTTTTATTTGACCTTTTACATGTTTTTCTTTTATTTTTTAAACAGGATCAAAAAACGAGATGGATTATACGGAGGAGCGCATATATAAAGGTGAGTGTATTACATTCTTGTGTATTTTTCCTCAAAAAGAATAAACGAAATAGAATGAGCAAAAGATTCTAAAGTATTTGTGGAGCATCAAACAGGCCAAGACGTTTTCAATTTTCTATCGCTATTTAAAGAAATTCATCTTAAAAAATATAAAAACGAATATCTAAAAATATCTTCAAACGCTGTCTCGTCCAGTTGACACCATCTATTGTGTTAATCAAGAAATATAGGCATCGAAGTGATGGCAATCATTAAAACGGTTTTGGACACGTATACGTGTTCGAAGCATTATTGTCTCAAGAAAGTATGGACTAATACATAAAATTTAAATCTACAAGAGAACAACTGACAGTTTGCGCAGATATTTGACAAAATATCCTCCTAAATTATTGGCCAAGGATGCTCGCTTCACTATTACGGACTTCCTGAAGGAGATTCTTGGAAAAGCGGTACCCAAAATATTCTACATATCGATGGCCTAAGTCGGAAACCACGTATCTACATTGCAATGTCTCAAAATTTCCTTTTTCTATTTTATTTTTAAACTTTTTAGCTCGAAATTTACACAGAATATTCTGCTTACAGAAAAGAAAAATCATAAAGTTGTCGATGATAGGTTTCCAAAGAAAAAATAAAGTTTGACACGAAGCCTGCAACTTAGCAAACGTGGTTTCTCATTGTGGCCATCAATACGGTCGGTGTCGCCACCTTACCTGCGCACGACAATGTTGAAAACGCCTGCGAGAGCAACTAAACCAACTTAACCGTGGTCTCAGATGCATACACAAAGATTTGAAGGCGCGCCGCTTTGATTAACGTGCATCGTGCACGAGTCAAACAGCAGTGAAAGCGTGAGGGTAAAAGACCGCAAGTGGATCATTTTATTTCGTACTCTAATCACAATAGACTCTGCCACTGCCACTATTTAGATTCGTAGTAGCTGCAATACCTGACATATCTGCCATGATATCTATGAAATCTCGAAAAATTGTCCACGAAGTACTTATGGTACCAACATACCTACCTTCCCACTTACCAGTGAACCCGCAAAAACTAGGTAACCACCATGCGAGCACTGCGAGCGTCCGTGAGATCGTATACTTACGGCCATGTGTAACGAATTTTCACGTATACTTTCCCGGGAGTCGAATGCATTCCGCAAGTACCTTACCTATTATAGCGGTTCTACACAGTGTTGCACGATTTATATGAAGAATTAGAGATTCCCGTGAAATATTTCATGAAATTGTACAAAGCTGCGGAAAAAATGGAAAATATTTAACATGTTTTCAAGGCTGGGTATGCAACACTCGCTAAACAAAACTAAAAATAAAAAAACCTTTTGCCTTTGATTTAATTTTCCATTTAGGTACCCACCTTTGAGAAATATTTCTTCATATCTTACAAATTTTTCTCTGAAAGTTCACTGCATGTATCTCATTTAGTTCCAAAATTGTATTTTTTATAAAAAATTGCAACACTGTACCCACATCACGCCTCTTATTCTATTAGAGCGCACGGGAAACAGAACTAAACGGAATCCCACCAAAACAGCGGTCGATCGTTCCTCATTGAATAGCAAAAAATTACACTCAAGTTTATATTCCACATGCCATGCACATGATTCTGCTTGTGTGCGACTTTTCTTTTCTCGTTGCCAGTTTTTTTTTCGGCATTTTCGGCACAGCCATTATTATCGCACAGTTTTACTTTTGAATCTGACAACACCGCACGAAGGAGTTTCGGTGTTTTCATTGATGAGCATCGATGACTCACTTCCGTCAAATGAATTGTTGTTGATAATAAACGTCAAATTCGAGTTGGAGGTGTCACTTGGAATTTCAGATACTGCATCGTTTAATTATTTCACTTCCGTGTTTTTTCTTAATTTCTCGTATCTATCATCTGTTTCCTCGAGTTTTGAATTTTCGTGAATTAAAATGGAACGGTATGTACTATTGTTTTAGATTGCTCAATGAAATGATTCAACCTGTCCTTGCATACCTTGAACGACTACCTGGCACTTTCAAATAGCCCAAACATATCCTTAAAATTAGATTCATTCTAAATTTTTCTTGTTACTGTTGGATGGAATTCAGTCTGATAATTTACTCTCTTCTGCACTGTATGTAGATGTGTCAGAATATTCTATGTGCAGAATCAAACAATGCAACAAGTAGAACTTTCTTTGACACAAGTAATTGAGGTTATATTTGCACAGTTTGGCCTTTGCTAATCCCGGAAATGCAATAATTCCCTGGGCAGGAAAATTTTAATGTTTTACCATAAATCTATTTCTCCAACTAATTTTTGAGCGCCTCTATTCATTCGCAATCATGGATTTAATGTTCGTCTCTGCTCAGTGCTATTCGAAGCTCTGATCCTTCAGTGAATACTGGCCTGCTAACTCTGTCGAAAGATCTTCTATTTAATTTACATCATTCCTTGGCAGTTTCTTGTTATATGAGGCAAAAATATGCCGAACTCAATTTAGCTAATCTCAGCAAGTTAATTCATGTTGTAACATATGAATAAGTCGATTTGAAGTTCACTTACCTAATCATAGAAAGAAAGGAACTAAACATCAAAGAACCAGTTCATCCAGGGTATTTTCTAACAGCAAGGCAAACATTTTATGTACTCATCATTCCTGCCTCCCTGCTATATTTTAACCAAACAAGCCCTTAATTTCTGTTCTGTTATCACTTGATGCCCCCATCTAGTGGTTATCTTTATATTTTATGGTTATGTTCGGATTGCAACAAATTATAAAGACTGATTCCCAAGATTGCTAATAATTAATTCAGGATTTACTATCTGCACTCCGATTGTTGAAACTTTAACTGGCTATGTTGGCAAAATAAGACAAGACATAGCGGTGCATAATCTGTGCCGCGTAATATATCGATTTTCGATTCTTGTCGTGCCAACATAAATTTCAACAATCAGGCTGCTGTGATGCTTTTTGGTGGAAATGAGCTGTCACCGTTTCAGATTTTGAAAATGCACCATGTAGGGAGACATTAATCTGGTTAGAGTGCCGGGAAATGTAGTAACAACCACCAAAGAAACCATCTTATTGATTTTGATTGTTGATGGTATTTGTATTACCACAGTATTATGCCATTTTGGGTGTCATAAAATCAGTTGCTTCCTAAATCAAGCAACTGCTCTTGACGGTGATCTCTCGTAGCAACTGCTTGCCTTTTCTGGCATCATTTTCATAACCCTACTTAGAACACGGACGGATGAATAGGTAAATCCATCCTAAAACTAACAATTAAGTATTAAAATTATATAGCATCATACTCACTATAAGTACCATCAATACTGTTACTGGGTCTGAGTAGGAGGTACTTAGGTAGCCAAAGGTTTCCAACGCCATGAGTTATTTGCCCCCAGAAGCTACCTTCTATTTCATAGCTTTCATTGTCAGGCATTTTCATTTGATTTTTTTTTTGTCACAGGGCAATGGAAGATGGATTTGCCGGAAGTAGCAATCTTCCAAGTGGAGATACACCAAAATCAAATGCAAACCTCCAAGCACAGAAGAAACTTCAAAAAAGTCAAGCACAAGTCGATGAAGTATGTATTTTGTCAGCAAAACTAATGTTTTTCAAAGGAATTTTGGAAAGATTTCCAGGATTTTTAAAATAGGACCAGCGAGGTCTGAATCTTGAAGAAGTCTAAAAATCATTATTTTTAAACCAATTTTTAAGTATCAAGTATTAGTGAACGAGGGAATAACCATACTTCTATCTTCCCCATTCCATGGTCCTGCTAGAGACCATTAAATTCAGGTCACATGGTAAGGAATCAAACCTGGGACCTCCTGATCATATGGCCAGTGTTACAACCACTTCATCTCTAGAGGCTGTAAATGAAAGAGAATTGGCAGCCAGGCTTCTTGTAGTGAAATTTGGGCGGATATCTATTTTTCAATTGACTTTTTGACCGGTTTACTGGATTTTCTAGAATTAAATTAAGTCTCAGTGTTAAATTACTTAATAGTCAATCCAGCTTATTTCTTGCAATAAGTAAGATAATAAAAAAATCTACATTTTCATAAAAGCAACATCTGCAATGTTCCATTATTGCACAAATTTTTGGTACTAGAACTGGCACTAACACAAGTGTCACATTTTTTCATGAAATACTTCAACATGACAATTGCAATTTTAATTTGGGTTTTTTTTTCCTTATGTAGAATTTGTATGCCATTTAGTACTTCAGTTTGGTGAGCAAAAGTCAAATCATAATTCCTCTATTTTGATTTTCAGGTTGTTGGCATAATGAGAGTAAACGTGCAAAAAGTTCTAGAGCGTGATTCAAAATTAAGTGATCTAGACAACATGGCAGATCAGCTACAAATGGGAGCCTCTCAATTTGAACAGCAGGCAACAAGACTCAAGAGGAGAATGTGGTGGAAGAACTTAAAGGTAATTTACCTTTACCAACAGATTGTACCAGTTTCATATCCAAGATGAGTTAAGGCTAAAAAACAAATTTCCAAATGTAGATTGTAATATTGTGTCTTTCAAAAGCAAAGATTGTAAGTAATCTGATTTCACCGTAGTACTTTTTCAATCTTCTCTCAGGAGCATTAAAAAATGAGGCATCTCTAGGTATAATCTTGGTTTTCCCTCCTATTTTATTTTTTTTAGAGAAACATGCCAGCTTTTTAGAGCTTAAAATCCATGCAGAATATTCGACCAACAGAAAAGAAAAAGCAAGGAAGTTTTCAAGAAATTACAGTGACTAGTTTTCCCCAGGAAAAATAAAGTATGACAGGGAATTCGCAACGTCATTCACGAATTATACATGGTTTGGTACTATGGCCACCAATATAGATTACAAACCTATTTTTACCATCCATAGTGAAGGAAGGGACTATATCGGATAAAAAATCAAAACAATACATGAAGATAACTTGACATGATTTCTCATCTAGACGTAATGCACCATGAGGAGTGTTATTGAAACTTTTAAAAGCAGCAACTCTTATCTGAGAAAATTTGCGTCCGTATTTCATTTGGCTCTATCAATTTAGGACGCCTCTGCGAAAAAAGATTCAAAATCGATGTGAGTCATTGAGACCCCTAAAAAAGAACCTTTGCATTGCGGGAAGTTTAAAACTTTCCTTTCTGTTTGCTTACCTGTAAATCTTTTACGGAAAAATTTGGCCCTCCAAAAAAACTCTCTTGTTTAAAAGTTCAACGAAATCAGTGCCCTTTCTAACTCAACTAGACTTTGATCTTTAGCATTAAGGATGTTTGTGCGAACCCTTTTATAATTATCTGATTTCTCAATTATAAGTCAAATCCAGAAATTTAGATGTTTTCACTGTAGAGATTCTATGAGATCTCTGTGAGAGACCTCTCTGAGACCCATTCTGTTTCTATGAGATTCTATGGGTAAATTTAATGAGATAAAATGTATCATAATGCTTGATTCTTGACTTTGTCTTGTAGCTCAATGTCATATCTTGTTTCTCAGTAACTTCACAAAGTCTTTAAAACACCGATTGTTTCATCTGACTTTCAAGTTAAAGACAAAATCATTCTTAAGATCTTAGGTAAATTTTTTAACAAGATAAATTATCCCTCGGCTTTGAACCAGGTGTTGAGGTGGTTTTCAAACTTTTTAAACCCTAATTTGATATGACCAAAGAAGGATTAATTGGCTTTATGGTCAATATATTAGTAGCTTAGTGCAAGAGGATCGTAAGCAAAAATCTCAGTGAGATTGAGTTTCTCTCTTTTACTATAAGGTTGCATTAGGCTCAATGTGTAAGGAAAAATTCAGTGGTGGTAGGCATGTGATAAGCATTATTTCAATGACTCACTCAGTATTTTTCTCTTTTGCAGATGATGATTATCCTTGGATTGATTGGTTTAATTTTTGCGATTATTTTCATTAGTAAGTATTATACTCAAATTTTCCACCCATCGTCAATCTGAATAGAACTCTGCTTCAACTGCTTTTTCGATCATCTCAAATTGAGCTATGCAATATCCAATTCTCATGGTTTTTTCACCAAAAAAGCTTTAGAAAAAGAGTTAGTTTTTAAGGCAGTTTACTGGGTCATATTTTAAAACTTTATAACCACAAAATTAGTGGAAATTGGCGCTAGAGACTTCTAGAGCGAACCTAGAAAAAAATTAAGATCATTTATCTTGTTTAAACGGGATAATTAACCATTTCACTATGCATTATTAAATAAAAGACTTAATTCATTTTTCAAGAAGTTAAAGAATGCAGGCTAATCTAGAGGTTATGACTTGCCAATAGCCACAAAAATCATGGACATGGGCTCAGTAGATATTCAGTGTGAATAATCACAGAAAATGAAAATTTTTAGACTGTAAGAGCTTAGGTATTCGTATTAATTGCATTGAAGACTGATTCTTTCCATTTTTTTTTTTTTTTTTTTTTTTGGTTGAAGACTCTAAAAGTGTTCTATTATATCATCTGTTCATCATCATAGATTTCAAACTGAATGTTCTTAATTAATCTGTGAAGTTAGTACCATTGGCTTGGAGGAAACTCTCTGCCTTTATCGACACCACCAGCATATTAAAATCCCTCTCTTTCTTTCTTCCAGTCCCACTCATCGACCTTGAAATTTCATAATGGCTATCTTGAGTAAATAATATTTACCTTTTGGGAAGCCATCATTTACTTTTAGTTAATAGTATATCATTCATAGAATAAAAAATCAACAACTCCATAAAAAGTCATTAATTTTTTTTGTGAACCTTGAATTTTTTTTAGAAAACTTTGTATAGTAAAACACCCTCTATGACAAAAGGTATAATCCTTGTTTTTACCTGCCAGAAGAAAAGTCCACCAGAAGTAAATCGAAAGCCTATACGTATTAAATCTGCAAACAAGTTTTCAACTACAGCACTGCACGACACACTTTTCCTTTATTGATTTAAAAAATCACACCATGAATAGTTTTGAAATAAACTCTTAACTAAGATATCAGAATTTTCAATCTCAATAAATTCCATCCCAATGATCCAAATCACTGAGTTTTAATAGCTCTGTGTGTATCATATTCTCGCAACAAAATCTTGCATTTTCCATCGGAAATATTAAGTTCAAGTGTTGGAAATTGTGTACTTTATTTAAGATTAAATTAATTTGGTTTTTCCCTTACTTTTTTTACAGCTTGGATTTGGTCCGCGTTCGCAGGTGAATCAACCAGTAATCCATGAACATCATAAATTTTGCCTGTTGAAGTCATCGTTTCTTGCTATTGTATCTATTTAAATTAGGACTGTAAGTTATAAATTGATGTAGCACCTAAGAAGTATTTGAAGACTCCTTTTTCTGTCGAGAGATATGGCTCTGTCAGGGATTAAAACCCTTAGACCTTTTATTTTTTTATTTTATCAGTATAATGTTTCAATCAAGAATAATTTCTGGTCAACCTGTCTGTTTTAAGTTTGCAATACCATCGTGATCCTTGAGTGTACGTTATTCAACTGTAAAAATAGTGGAAAATTCCAAAAAAGTACTTATCTTGCCAACATTTTTTGGAATATTTGCTTAAAAAAACAGGAGGTCTGTACTGCTGTCAAAAGTAAGAACTTTTTTCAATCCTTTAAAAGTTGTCAAATATCTTCTGATTAAATCTATTTTCCAGAACACTCAACTAAATATCATAAAAATTTTAAGGATGTTTTACATGCGATTCAATCTGACTTACCCAAAATTTTCAAGGATGAATATTCACAATTTTTTAGAGCTATGCATGCATTTTGAGTAATTTGGCAACTTTGAAATATTTGTGCGGTGCTTTACTATTTAAAAAATTCTAGTGAAGTGTACACTCTGGATGAGACTGTAAAAACTTGCCATCCATGGTGTCTTTTTGAGAGAAAAATTTTAATGTCCTATAACATATTTACTGCCCTATTATTGTTGGTTCATTTTAGGGGGTATTGTTGAGCTTTTTATCGTTTCAAAATACTCTTTGATTTGGCTAAGTTGCTAGTTTTTAATGTCTTAAAAAGCACCGTATCGTAATTTTGTTATTATTTTTGAAGTAGTATCATGCTTCCTCCTTTTTCTTTATAAAATACTTACTGAGTGGCTAAAGATTTTCTGAAGAGACCATTAGCCACTTTTCCTCTCTTTTCCTTATCCATGCACTGGACTGAGAGTAAAATCGTTTTTATTTTTTATATTATATTCCACGTGTATAATTTAGGAATTATATATTAAGAGTACTTGAAATTTTAGAATGCTGAAGCAAGCTCCCTCCTTAACCCTTATCAAGAAAGTCTAAACTTTTTTCTTCTAAAGAGACAAAGCTGAAATGAACGTGTTTTTTATTGCATTTTAGCTACTATTTCAAAACCGTGCTTACTGCCGGCTAGTTTAAATTAGTTTAAACATCCTCCTTCATTTTTTTTGACACATCAGTTTTTTTTCATAGCTGTAAAGGTTTTTGTCAGAGAAAAATTGCTGGAATGTCTGTTGTGATGTCTACATGTAAAGGAGTTAATCATGAAGTTCCAGTTTATCGATGTTACTTAAAATTTCCAACAACAATACCTAGATGTCAAACTAGGAGGCACCTATCTACACAGGAAGTTTTAAAGATACATCTATCTTTTTTTCAACTTTAGTATAAAACGCATGTTGTTTTTTTAAACCTCCCTTTGTCGATAGATCCCTGTTGCATGAGGGTGTCCAATCATAGCCCTAAGTTTTGACTCATTTCATGTTATCTTTTGCTAAATCACAATAAAATGAAATCAGTATTTCTAAAGGTAATCGTGCTTATCTTTTACCTGCATCCTGGACGTTGTCTCTTTATTTAGGCTGGATAGATGACTCTAGTTGAATTAGAAAGAAGAAATAATTGCCAACTGGTCAAAGGCTGATTAATTAGCCCTTTTAACATCTTTGAATTGAGTTCCATGCCAATTTGTCAAGAGAAACATCTTTAAAGACATCAGGCTATTAAAGATTCAAATAATGACACAAAAATATGCACTGAATACGTAATTGTCTTTCTTGAATAATGACTAGATGGAAGGTTGGCAGATCGATTATTAGTTTGCTCTCATGGACATGTTGTAAAGAGCGTTGGTTTTGGTTTATTGCAACTTATTTTCTCATGGAATGTTCAGTAGACTTGTACATACAGCTAAAAGTAATCAAGCTTTATAGTTTTTTGAGTCAGCATGTAACTGGGTATAAGCGCCTTGCAAGAAATACATGTTTCTGCATTACTGTGCTTTTAGATGCCTTCCGTTTGCTAATTCCGTCAGATCAAAACAGGAAGAAAGAACACAGTTTCGGAAGCTGCTCCCTCAAAGATTATTCTCTGTGACCTAAAAGTTACTTTAAAACTTCTCATTTCATTCGGTGCATCAAGGCAAGGGCCTCAGTTGGATCGAATTTAGCGAAAAGGAAGCAATTCAATTACAGTGCTGTCATAATTTTGCGGAGGTTTTGCTTTAAAATAATGTAATGCGCCTTCTTGTATTGAAATTTACAGAATTGTTTTCTTTTAAAATTGAAAACATTTGTTAGAAAAACTAAAATATTAAATCTTCTAGGTGTTTTTGAGATCAAGGCAAAGTTGCATGATAATTATAATACTTTAACTGTCTTGGTTCTCTTTTGCTAAATTCGAGCCAGTTAATTTTTGTAAGAGAAACAGATGATGATAAAGTTTATCTCCTGCTGAGAATGTTGGTGTTATGTCCTTTAAGGTTTAAAATTTCGGGATCCTAGAATTAAATCATATGGTGACAGCTGCCACACAATTCTCATAATTATCCTGAAACGTGACTAAATACCATCGGTACTCAAAGTGACGGCCAGTGTTACACTTTTTCAACTACATATTAAACTATCATTTGTCAAAAACTCTAATTTGCATTTACTCTGTAAACTTTTAAATCCAATCGCAGTGGGTAGGTACCTAAATGTTGGTGATAGGTTTATTCTAACAATGAATGTATGGTCTTGTATCATATTCATGTGAAGTTTCAAATTAATTTAAATTTTTAATGTTTGCGGCTAGCAAGTAACATATTAATCCAGGTATCTCATTCAATTTTATCGCACGGTACTGATGAGTAATATGGCATGAACAATTTGTTTTGTGCTTAATTTATGTCTGTGCGCATCTATGCGAAGTATCTGCTTAAAACAAATTATGAGTTCAGAGACTTTGTGATAATCATCTTATATAGTCTTTTCGTCTGTGTTTACTTGCACCTGTTTTACAACAGCTCATTAAAATTCTCTCTCAATTTTCATTGAGATCATGACTCTGAATATTTGCACTCCTGCAGTTATTGTAAATTGGTGTAAGTACCTCCCATAAATCTTAATGTGTTTTTATTCCTCAATCCATTAAACATAATAAAGTCCCATGCCTAACTAACATTTACCTCCATTTGATTATCTTTCATCATAGGGTTTGCATAAAAATAATTTATTTATATGTTAGCTCCATATTATGATGTTAGTGCCTTTTTTGTATGTACATTTATTTCAATAAAGTATTTTTTTAAAAATTTCAAGAATTTTCATATTCACCTACTCTGATGTTTTTAAATCTAATAATAACCCTGCCTAGGAATTTCATAAATGGACAACAAGACAGGATATGAAATTACACCTCGCAATTATGTGTCTGCAGCAATTTGCATAATTTTTTTTTTTTTTTTTTCTTTTCGTTATTTGCTCACTATAAACCTCAGATGATGTACTGATTGAGTACATTTACCGATTTGAACTCATTTAGATTCACGTTGGAATGTAGAATACTGTGGACGTTTTTTACAGTGTAAATTATTAAATTAAAGTTGTAGATGAGAAAATATTGGTTCCTGACTGGTTCTTGTCAATGTAGGTTCACACTTTCCTCTCACCAAAAACCAGAGCCTACTTGAGTCAAACTGAGCACTGAACTAATTTCGGTACATTTTACCTATGATGAAATAATTTTCCAATGCACTGACCTTTTTTTTGACAAGAATAAAGGTACCTTTTTCAAAAGGGGAAAGGAACATGTGTGAGCAAACCATGCTCTAATTATACCTATGCCTAACATACCGGTGGATTTCAATCCTTAATTTGACCTACGTTGATCATGGTTTTTTTTTTGTGAGCGATAAGTTTGAATTATTTGTTTTATGATGTAAACTAGCTAAACTCACTGCTCAACGCTCAGCGAAGTCTAATACAACTTTTTCCTTCGTACAATCGTGACGCCCGAGAGTAATACCACTATTCGACCACGCGGTAGCTCGTATTGCCTACTCTGGAGACTGAAGGCAAACTGACTGGGAGGTACATCACAACTCCGCTCCACCACGCTTGGTGATCGAGTCATTCCGGTTTTCTTCCTCGGGCAGTCTTGATATTTGAGAGAGATACCATTATTCGACCACGTGGGAGCTCGTATTGCCTACACTGAAAACTGAAGGCGAACTGACCTTGAGCTGAAATCACCGTTCCTAGCTCGGTAACACTATTGCCAACGATCAGTCGCAACCTCTGAGGGGGATACCATTAACATCTCCGTAAAAATTTTCTCCCGTGAATTAATGTCCCATTTCGCAGATCCAATCGCATACCATACCTATGTAAGGTTTCGTCACACCATCAATGTAAGGTTTGTGTGAAAAAACTTTTAGGCGCTTGACCCATCGTAGATTGTCCACTAAACTCAATAGAGATGTACCTATTCTTACCCCTACTTTTTTGAGGGTGGAGCCTCTGAATTTTCCGCTGTTTGGGGGGGGGGGGCAGTAAAATGTTAACGAGCGAGATGTGGGATCCACTAGTAGGTAAGTAGTGCTGTATACAATTAATTTTATGCCATAAATTGTCACAGCTGTACAATATTCAGGGGCTACGTATGCAACCTGCAACAAATAATTAAAAAATAACGAAGAACTTGGACTTCGGCTCTTTTTTTTTTTTTTTTTTTTTTTTTTTTTTTTAAAGTTGACTTTTTGATCCTAGCGTTCTTAGACCTCTTGATTGTTGGCTACAATTTTAAATTTTGTGAGATATCATTTCATGAAAAAAAGGATAAGTTTTGTGCGTCTCTGTCGAAGTCAGTGACGCGCATTTGCGAGGATAGCCATGCGCTGATGAATTGTCTATTGAATTGGAATGGAGACGTAATTTGCCCATTAGCACAAATGAGGGACTTCGAGGACAAGGCGCATAAGTGCAGTTTTTACTATTTCGAGAAATACATGTTTGAAGTTTCGAAATTAAATTGATCCTTTTGGCGGACAGCAAGTTCAAACTGACTTTTTGATGCTTAAAAACTGGAATTCGGGAGCGAATTTTTCCCAGAAAATGCTTTAAGACTACAGTTTTACTTGAAAGCATTATTATCTCAATTTTTTAAAAAACTGCATCTAAGCGCCTTGTCTTCTAAATTGAAGCCTCTAAAATATAATGAAAACGCATGGAATCATCACCCATCTAACTGGGGCCATGACAATCCATATCCCACACAATCGTCCATCATAAATCATTCTTCAGGATTCGCTAAGATGAAAATCCCAATTGCATCGTGTGGAAGAGGAGGCATAAGTTGCCTCTGCCTAATTTTCTAGCTCCTTCAAAGCTGTGACAACCGTAGGGTTACCGAAGATTAGGGACCTTCGCTACCCTCTCCCTTTTTTGATTTAACCAGAATTATCAACAATAAATCTTGTTTTCTGATTTTACCGTTTATTTAATAATTTACTTGATATGAAATGAAGTTTGCGCAATGCAGAGCATGAATTTTTCAACAACTAAAATGGTAATTAATCGTGGGATACAAACTCAATCAGCATCGAATGAATTCAAAATAATTTAGTTGTCGCCTGCGCTACCTGGCGGTCAAATTTTGAACTACAAGGTGCCCGCAGCTTCACACCCCTCCCCTCGATGGTCCCGCGCCACTCAGTCTGGCCTCTGGCGAGCTCGACCGACTTTCTCTTATCTAAGCCGCCACCGACCCTAGTTCCTCGCTGGCGCCTGGCGCCTCGAGGATTTGGTTTCGGCTATTGTTTTCTTCTTCTTCCTCTCTTGACCCATTCAGTAGACCACCCAAAAGGCACTCATGTACATTAGGTCTTGGACACTATCCTTCATGCGATTCTCACGTGTAATACATCTATCCTTACTGATTTTTCACGAGGAACTCGAATCTGACATTAGTTTTTTAGTTTAACGTATCATACTCCATCTAATGCTATAATCTTGCGACAGTATTGGGACACTTCTTAAATAACGGATTGAAGTTCGCGACATAGGGAACTACATTCTTATCAGAGCGCATTATTCAACAACGGGTAGGTCAAAACATTTCAGTTTTGGCTGGCAAGACGTGCTGTAGTAATAATAAGTATTCAATTGAATAATAATTCACCAACGGCTCAATTGAATTTTGCGCCGGTGAAGGTCGTGAGTAGTCAGACAGTTTTGGATTTTGAAAATATGCCAGTATATCTAAAGTTTTAATTCGTGCCGCCCCCCCCCCCCCCAAATAAAAAATCTAAGTTTTTTTTATAGAAAAATGAAAACCTTAAAACTTTAAATTTGGGACTTTACGCGCAATTTAAAACTTACCAAAATTATATCCGGGGGAGTTCAAAGACGTAAAACATAACGGTACCAAGGGATCTTCGGCCTTCATGAGGCGAAACTTTTCTGAAGAAAAGGTAGGGATCTCAAAAAAGTTTACCTTTGGGGTACCGCCGCGCCTCCCCCATAAGTTATTAGTCTATGACAACCTCCTCCTCCCTAGTGAATAATGTAAGGTCAATTGAAGCGCCAAATCATACGGAATATTGAAGATGAAGGTGCCAAACCATCTATCCTGATTTTTTTCTCATTAACTAATGTTGTGAATTTCTAATTTTCGTCGATCTGTATGGTGTACGCTGCGTAGAATTTAGACCCGAAAACATGTTTTGGATGCTTATTATTTTATGTAAAAGATCATTCATTAGATAGAACAACCGGAGCTGATTTTACTTTGTGCGAAAACGTATAAAACGCTCAAATGCACTGACGCGACGAATCAGACTTCATGAATTCCCATCTCAACAGGATGCTAATTGAAAGGCCAGTTTTTCAAATTAACGATCAAAAACAAGCGCTCATTTCCCCCCTTGAATATTCTTGTTGCTAATCCATAAGAGTTAGCCCATTTAATTCTGAAACGACTGAGGCGCCATAAACTGAAAGGACCTCTGCTTTCTGTACCCATCACAACTTTCAGAGCTCACGTGTGTTTTGGTATTTCGGATTTTTAAAATATAAAGGAATCGACCATTCAATTGAACCAGCATGTTGATTGCTGGCGTATTCAGCGAGTGCACAATAAGAAGCGTAGATGCAACCGCTACTGGAACCAAAATTTCCATAAAGCGTGTAAAAAATGACAAGCCTGCGGCACAGATGAAGAGTAAGGAAATGACTGAAAAGTCACGCATATTCTCTCCCTCATCTGACAAATGACGGATTTCACACGGATTTAAGATCCGTGGTTAATCCAAAGAATATTAAGATAATGCAGGCTCATAAGCATCAAGAGCGTGAGCAGAGTTGCAATTTTATTTTATTCTTTTTAGCAAAAGGAAGGTTTTTTTTTAAAAAAAAAAAATTACTTTATCCCTAAATTAACTAAGGTAGAATTTGCGATATATTTACATTCATTTCAACGTTTCATAACGCTCAATGGAGCCCCTCTAATCAAGAAAATCTTGACGCTGACCCAAACCAGACATTTCCTCAATAAATTTTTTCTTTTTTTTTAAAAAAAAGAAAAAAAATTGCATTCTCAAATCATTGAACGGATCAGGATGTTTAATATTGAAACAACGTAAAAGTATTGTAGAAAAAATGGCGAGAGGTTTTTGTGCTTCTTTTTTTTCCTTCTTTTTGATCCTCGGTGCCGTTTCCTCATAACAGTTGAAAAATGAAGCAAACTTTAATAACCCCCAAAAATATTCTGAAATCGGCTTTTAACATTTCGTTTAGAAATTCTCCTCTCGCAAATCCTGAAAATGTCTGGTGAAAGAAACCCACGGACCCACCCCAAAATTTCAAATACAAGGACAACAATAGCCCCCTACTGGAAAAATTGGATCATTTTTCAAGGAAAACGGCAACTCTGATTGTGGGTGACAATAATGAAGAATTCTGTTTTCCGCAAGATTAAGTAAGCGATGGTGTGCAAACAGGATAAACTCACTTGAAAACCGGTCAGTTCTGAATCACAAGCCGAAGTTCTGGAGCAGATTCAAGCAAAAAACGTCGGAAAATAGGGCAAGGTAGTAGCAATCGGTATACCTCGATAGACAGAAAACGGCAAAATAAGTCTCAATAATTTTGTATCATCTCGCGCAAGGAAGTATCAGGAGATTTCAAAAATTGACGTGCACAGAGCATTTTAATGTTAGATATCGATAAATTGGGAATCGGAGGAAAACACACCGTTAAAGTTCTTTATCGCCAGTTCCTTTGACAAGAGCTCATTTCAAACAAATGACCAAAG